ACTCCCCTTATTTAAAAGACGAATTCCAAGCTTAAACCCCTTAAAAAGCCGACCCAATACACAATTTAAGATCAAGTATTTCAAATAGCGTTCACCCTCGTCCCTCCCGCCGCTAAAAGAGTCAAAAGGAGCCCAGGAGAGAGACGTTCTACCATGCCCATCAAACATGGCCGGTCGGTCGCATGTAGACGATTCTGTGATCGAGAGGAGATTACGGCCGATTTATGGTAAGATGCGAGGTCTCTGGGGGTTAATTGACACATATTCGTCACTAGCTTGATATTAGGGAGGGGTAAGTTCTGTGTCAATGGGTAATTTGGGAAAGGTGGCCGAAAATTGGGCAAGGCAGAGAGTAGAGCTGTGAGTCAAGGCAGACTGAACTATGGATGTGTCTTGTTATTATATTATTATTTCTCTCTCTCTCTTTCTCTTCTTTTTCGTTTTTCGTGTAGTCTTTTGTTTCGAGCTGATGTGGATCTCTCTTGGTTTTGATTAGTTGCAAGGAGGGAAGAAGTCGTGAGTTAGGGGAATTAATTATCAACTTGTATTAATTAATTATAACTTATTGCCTTTCTCGTGATTTGGTGGCAATTTGAGAGTAAATAGTGTATTCATTATTATTTGGCTTCTGCAGAGGAGACGTATTGTTTCTCGTGTAATTTGAGGCGAGCGGAACTAAGCCGTTGTTTGTTAATAATTAACTAACAGAACTAGAACTAACTCATTAACAAACTAGAACTAACTCATTAACTAACTAGAACTAACTCATTGTTTGTTCCTGTTGCCTTCCCTGAGATTTCACGCCAGCAACCTCCCCCCCGGATATCTTACTGGCTTGGAGGGCTGGTGGGAATTTGGAGATTCCGGGGGGGGGCAGGGATTAGTCCTTTGAAATAGGATTAGTTGCTGCTTTACGTGGAATGGTGCATGTGATTTTTATGCGTTTTACTAACCCGCAAGGCATACTTTCTTTACAGTAGTTGAAGTTGTCTCTGTACCTAAGGATATGACGAGGGGTCAGCAAACATCCTTGATGTAGCCTACAGTTTGGCTGAATAGATTCTAGATTGATTTCTGTATTGATACGATACATTGTCAGCGTTTACATTGTACTGCAGCCAGTATAGCAAGCACACGTGTACTTCTGTAATAAAACAAATAACTCTGAACCGTCTCAAACTTTGTAGAAATATGAACAATAAGCAACAGAAAATTATTTTTAAGTATAATTGGCCTGTCTAAGAAAAAGTGGTTTACAATCATCATCTGTAGACTAATTGTGAATTACCCTTTTTTTTCTATCCTTCTTTTTTATAAGAATTTTCTAGTTAGTTACTTTTTATTTTCCTTCCCCTCAAAATTTAGGGGACGTCGAGAATGGGATTTGAGAATGGGGTAACTTACAGAGGTCCCTAAGGCAAAGAACAGCCAATAGATATAGGCATTCTGGGGTTTGGCAAAGTGAACATAATTGCTCATAACAGGAATTTGAAAAAGTGAACTAAGAATGAAACCTTGTATGATAAAACAAACACTTAATTTCTTTTGTGTGTGGAGAATTTATCAATATTAATTATTGGAGTTATACTTACCAAAAAATTAAGGGAGCTGTGGGCAGCATTCTCAAAATGTTTCACAGCAGTTACTGTTTTAAAAAATTTAAATGGCATGGTTTATATGTATACTCCTTGGCATTAAAATGGCATATGATATACCCTCCCCCTCCCACCTTCCCACATAATCCTAACATTTTCTGGTCTTCAAATCCATTTGTTTGTGTATTTTAGCATTTTAAATTCATTATTGAAGATAAAAGATAACTCCATCAGCTGTTTCAAGTTTAAACAGTATTACTAATGTCTTGATAACAGATGCATCAACTAGGCAACCCTGTCTGATGTAAACATCTGTTTTCTCTGTTTTTTCTCTTACGGGCTTAAAATGAATGATTTACAAGATGACCAAGTGTAGCAAATACATTGCTTTAAAAGAAGGCTATTTGCTAAACACAACAGAAGTGGCTGCCATTATGAACAGAAAAAAAAAAAAAGTTCAGTATGTAGAAGAGGGTAGTGGGTATACTTTCGAAACAATTTTGATATTTTTCTGCATGAAATCCACTGCTTTCAATGATTCTAGGCTTTGTTCCTTGTGCAAATGAACATTGAGGAGGTATGATCACCTTCACCATTGACAATCTTGATTTGATAGTCCCAATAGCAGGGTAAAACAGGACCCCGTGGTTGTTAAACAAAACGTCTTAACCCAACATCCAACCTAACCTAACACCATGGTATATATTTCCTAGTCAGGGGGCTCTGCCCCCCTGGACTCCCGTGGTAATATATACACCTAGCCAGGGGACTATGCCCCCTGGACCCCCATGGTAATATATATGCCTAGCCAGAGGGCTATGCCCCCTGGACCCCCATAATAATATATGCGTCTAGAATTCATCCTCACAATGTAAACAAGATGAGCAACTTAGCCAAAATTGGGG